TAAAAATTCTTAAACATCATCTGTTTGCATTTGTGTGCTTTATAGCCACGCATGTGTCATTGACGCAAAAGTTGGCAATTACTTAAAATTGATATCCTTAATGTTGTATAATGACAACAAAGATAGCAGCTTGTTGTCAAAACTTACTGGAATTTCTACTGATGCTTAATGGAAATGTTGTTTTTGCCCTCTGTGCTGGTTAAACTGTCCCACTGAAAACAGGACAGTACCCTTTAGAGATCCAGCATCTTAAAGGACCTGTTAAGTGCTGACAGTAACAACTGTCCTGTGGTTGCAGGCATACATTAAGAATTTAAGCCAAAGTTAAAACAGTGAAAACAATCAGTCCTATTTTAAAAGGAGTTGCCTAATTACATTGCTAAGTGTCCCAACAGGCTGTAAAATTATTGTTAGGGAGACCTGTTTGTCTCTCTCTCTATCTGTCTTTCTGCATGGTGTTCCGTCCTTGGACCTCGAGAGCTGCAGGTTAAATGGGGAAAAGGTTGTCAACATAGTCAGCTTGAGGCTGGAGGATATATTTAGACTGGAAAGACCAGAGGAAGGCAGGGAGAGACAGACAGGCAACAAGGAGGGAGAAATTCATTTTTGACCCACTTTCTGAAGCTGTTACTACCTGTATATCTTCTGAATCATTTGTATTTGAATCAGTGTTCTGCTTATTTGTGCTGTAATTTATCCATGCCTATTTGTGTATTTGCGGCAACAGTGGTTAATAAGGGTATATGAAATTCAGTTTGAATTAGAGTTCATTTTTTGTGTCTCTGCCTCCCCACTGTTTAGCACTCAGACATGAGGTGCCGGGTCTAGCGCTCAGCCCCAGTCATGGTGGTGAATGGGGGTAAAAATCTTCGAATAAAACATGCTGGCACATTTCATCCACACCTACCCACCAACCCCCCACCCCAAACGCCCCAACCCCAAACACTCATAAGCCCCACCCCTCTCTTCTTGCCAGCTGAATTAATCTGATACTATTTTTGAAAGACAGTGTTTCTAAGGGATACCTAATGACGCAATGACGTCAATGCAGGTCAATAGCACACTGCTGGAGAAGAGGACCAGGGAGGAGGAGAGAGAGCGAGAGAGAGAGAGAGAGAGAGGCACAGAGAAATGGAGAGGGAGAGAGAGAAAGGAGTGGAAGAGAGGTGCTTTCAGATCTCGTTGTCGAAACACCCAAGACAGTTCCCAGTGTTTTTACACTGACTGTTTTTCTCCTCCTGAATCATTTATTCCTTTTTATATACTTTTTTTTTTTGAAATTCCAATAACTGCACGAGCTTTCAGTCGGGCTTACCCTGCACCATTCATGCTTTCCGTCCCTGTCTGGAAGTAATTCACACACGCAGACCAACGCACGCCTACGCATAGACAGTAAGAAAAAAAAGAGTATTTGGCGTGAGGTGAATCGTGTGGCGCGCCTCCCCGAATGCGTGAAGTCCCCCTGATTTGGCGGGCTATTTCTATAATCAGGCGCACATTTGTAACTCTGTGCTCTTCCCCTCCTGTCCGGCTACCACCGCCACCTTTACATTTCCAAACCCCTCACCCCTCCCCGAGACCATCCATCCAAACCCACCGTTCTTTTGAGCAGGGTCCTTGAATCTTGAATGCAAACACCAAATATTTTACCCTCCGACAACAACAGGGAGAGGACGCGCAACGGACTGACTTTCTCCATCCTGGCGAAGGAGGAGAGACTGTAGGCTGCCCTGTCCCCCTTTCTGCTCAAATCATGTATTCAAACAGAGTTTATAAAGACACAGAAAGCAAGAAATATTGCAGGTAAGTTTTTTCTGTTATTTGTTGCGCGAAACCCAATTCGTGGGCAGCTAGTTAGGGAAGTTTGCAGCCTGACCGTGCTTGGATATTTTGGGACTTAGTCACCCCCATCATAACCGGTTGATCTGAAGACAAAGGTAACAGCATTCTCACGAGACGTTCTGTAGTGGCAGGGAACGCCATCCAAAGTGAGGTTCGCCTTCACTGGGACTCAAAAAAAAAGACCGCAATGTTATGCAGATCATTTAAGAGGACGTATTCATTGTTGCCTATCCGTTTGCATGCTGCTTGTAGTCGTGAATGTTTGCCTGCTAAAGCTTAACCTCACCACTTGTCTTTATTCCCTGCAAAGGGGATACTCAGCGCGACTTTTTTAAGGGTCATTGCAGGGGATGCCGTTTGGTGTCTGCGCACTGATAACTTTGGGAACGTTCAGAATAGGGTATTAAAAATAGCAGTGAGACGGGTTTTTTTTATTTTTTTTTGGTTGTGTCTGTGTGTGCATACTGGCAGCAGATGGGATTTTGCAAACACTCAAAGAGAGCGGGCTGCGGTAATGCGTAGGAGTATTCACGTGTTGGGGATCCTCTGCTTCAGGCTGCCTGATCTACTGAGATGCCTAGTAACTACTAAGAGATAGACAGAGAGGGAAACTTTGTGTTTACATAATCTGTATATATTTATGGATTTTTCTTTTACGGCCTCAACAACGGCGTTCTCCCCCGTCGTGACAAAGAAGTAGATGCTCATTCGTGAGTATTAGTTATAAACTTATAGGTTATGCGTCCTTAGTCCTCCACTTGTAAACAACTTTCTGCAGCGGACTTGCGTCAGCCCACACGTGTCGCCAGCTGCCTCGGAGGTACATGCTGTCTTGTTTTCTTTCATGGCCGCGATATAACCGCATTTGTTAGTCCCGTGAGTCTCAAAATGCTACTTGCATTCGCCGGAGCAACATAAGGTGGCGTCGTTATAAAACTCAAGTCTGGGAGGGAAGTTAAAAGATTCAGCAGAACAGGCAGGTTGAGCTGCCCTCACATGGCTCAAACAGCGACTGAGCTGTTCAGCACCACGGAGAGCTCCCTGTTCGTTTACGCACTCACATCCTAAGGTAAATTAGAAACTGTGGTCCAAAATGTTTAATGACGTGAAAATAAACGCATAAGGCTGTTTTATTTTCTATAGTTTGTTATTACTTCTTTGATGCTGTGAAAACGAATATTTTAAAGTTGTGCCAATGCGGAGAGGTTGTTACAGGTTGATGATAAGTTTACCTCGTACAAAAAGCGGTAATCGGAAACTGAATCAGTAAGTATTTTGTGTAACATTTGGCTTCAAGTCAGCACCACTTCACCTACGTTCATTTGTGTACACATTTTGAGTATCCTTGACAAAAACTTGCCACAGTTACTCTGTGGTTTCAGACTGTCATAGATCACAGTTCTCTGGATGCCACACCATCGGTGCCAGGACTTTTATTTCTTCTGGTTGCCGTAGATAGTTCTTTATATCCTTGACTTTATGGTTGAACTCGTTGGCATGGGGGGGGGAATGACTCAACGAAAACTGCTTAGAAGCAGCTAATCGCCTCGAGTGGCTAAAGCCGCTGCACAGTACTGTTCTTTTGCCTTAAAGGTCGTTTAAAAGTGAATCTTTTGTACTTTGTGCAGGTGTGGCCGGTAAAATTGAGAAATCCATTTGACAGACTTGGTGTACAAAGATCTTTGTGTGGTTTTTGCAGAAGGCACGCCTCCTGCCTGTGTCGGAGTAGTTGTGATAGTGAAAGGAACAGAAGGATGAGCAGTACCTTCTCGTTGTGATGTGAACTCGGACAAAAAGTGTGTTGTGTCTTGGTTTTCGCTGGAGTCAGGAGTGCCGGGTTTTTTTTTAATGTTTTTTTTTTTTTTTGGAAGGGTGGAGGTGGTGGGGGTAGACAAAGTTTGGGTTAAAATTAAAGGAGGTTCTCTGGTTGGGTTTGTCGACACCACGCGGTGATCACCGTGCACTGCGCTGGCAAACCTTGGCTTCATCTCCCACTGACACTGCTTATTCCTTGATTGAATGATTGTAGACCACTGTATGTGCTCATACGTGCTTGCATGTAGTGTAGCCAATGTTTGTTTTGTGTGAGCTAAATCAGATATTTACTTGCTGTGTCATGTTTTATACTCATACATTTGTGATAAGAGCCAAAGAGACTACAAAATACGCAAAGAATAAAACTCCTTTTTTTCATTTTTTGATTACTCGGGGTGCATTTTTGTCATCTCGGTATTCAGGATATCCTAAATCCCTTCTCTGAGCGTGTCCCTATACATGCATTCGCCAGCAGTCACGGACATACAGTTGGCCTACAGGCAGGGATAAAAATAGCACAAACCGATGCGACGGGCGCAGCCCTTTTCTCTTTCAGAGCCGACTTTTCTAGGTAGCTGCCACTCAGTTGGTACTCACTGCCTTCATTTCTAAAACCCTAGCACCATCCACCATAGGCCAGCCCGCCCCATCGGATAAAGTCTCGTGAATGTCCACGCGGCATGAGTGCAGATGGACGGCCTGGTGCGCGTAAAGAGGGTCTTACAGTAAAGATGTTATAGATACAGAAGAGGGCTGGGAGAGAGATTGAGCATACTGTGGAGGGAGGTTTGTTTGTACACCTTTGCACCGACAAGTGTGCGCTCCCGGGGGTTTGTTCCGTGGGCGAGCGGGGTCTGGTGCGTGGGCACGACCGGTGGAAAACAGGAGATTAAGGTTGTGTTTTCCTCTCCTTTGCCGTAGAGATACGGGTGTTTTGCCCGCCAAATGCACTGGATGCTGGGATATAAATTCTCCAAGACCAAAACAGCACCGACACTTGGTGTGTGGGGAGGGGGGGAGACATGGGTGGGAGGAGGGTGGCTGGAAAGCCAGATGCTTAGAGGAGGGTTTTCACCAAGAGATAACCTACTCTAAAGCTGCAGTTTCCACGAGTCCATACCATATTACCCACCAGTATATCCTCGTGTTTTATCACTCATATTTTTTCCTTCCACATGGCAAATTTTCGAAGAGAGCTGATGACAGAAAGGCAGCCTTTAATCAGACTCTCCGGGCTGTAAAGTGAGAGAATCTGAACGTGACGTCAATGCCTAGTAACTGACGCAGCCCTTAGAAAAAAGAAAAGAAAAAAAGGCTTTTTATTTATTATTTTTCGTCTTCTCGTCAGCAAAGCTTAATTATTAAATATAAGAGTGCTATGTCGTATGTCGACTAAAAGAAAAAATAAAATCCTTCAGGGACCGCCGGGCAGTCCGTGCTGATCAGCATTTGGACCTATTTAGCGTTCATGAGTTTCAGCTGCTGAAGTGACACTGGGACGAGAAGATTCTGAAGAGGGCGACAAGACATCAAATATTGTCGATGGTAATGGCAGCGTCGACGAGTTCCAGATTTCAGTTGTTAGGTGGTGAAAGTGGCGTGTTTTAAGGAAGAGACGGACGTGGTGGTGCTGTTGAAGGCACGCTGGGTTGAGAGGGGGGGGAAAAGGAAAAAAAAATCACTGCAATGATGCAACGGAGGGGACTCGGGGATCTTTGCAGAGTTGGAGAAGCAAAATTAATTTCCATTACATGCTCTTCACGTAAAGATCCCAAGCAGTGCCTTTTTTGTGGGTGTTTTTTTTCTCTTCTCCTTCCTTGTACTGTGACCTAAAAATAGCATCATAGTTTTGATCGTGCGCCAGAAATAGACAGACGGGTATCACTTGTATAAAAAGGAGGCGATCCTGAGCAAACTTGGACGTGCCACTGTAAGCCTACATAACAACAAATGGAGGACTTAATCTGTTGCATTTCTACCAGACTCTTGTTGCGGCTTCTTCTTTTTTCCCCTCCCTTTACTAAAATCTCAATTCTTGTCTTTCTCTTTCTGCAGTGTCGAACAAGGACGTGACTGCAAACTGGTGAGTGAGACGTTTGCACACACACTTGTTTAATTCCGTGTACTTTTTGTTGTGTGGTAATTGCTTGTGCATGCTGCCGAGTGTCTGTGCGGTTTCTATTCCTCCAATTTTGCCTTACACTTTGGCTCATGCACAAAAAATAAAAAAATAAAACTTACAAAAAAACAACCCCTTAACTTACGGTCCTACGCATGGATTTTGCTGGCATGCTTTACTAGCCATGTTTGATTGTAGAGCCGAAGCAACCCTTCCTGCAGAGTAGGAATCACCCCTTTTAGTAAATAAGCTAGTGCAAAAACTCCCTTTGTCTATTGGCGCTGTTGAGTCTCTATCACATATTTATTTTATTCCCTCCCATCTCTATGCTTAACCGCGAAAGCGAGGGGAACCCTTCTCTGATGAGCGCTTAAGGACGCCTTTCCCCCCGTCTTCTCCCCCCCCCCCCCCCCCCTCCCCCCCCCCCCCCCTTTTTTTTTTTAAAGAGGAATCTTACTGACAGAAAAGCGACGCTGGAAGAGGAAGAGGAGGGAGTGATGTGAAGGAGCTGTTGCTGCAGCAGAGACCAGGCACACCGCATGGGGAAACCCGGGAGCTGTCCAGCAGCAATGGTGCTGAAACCACACCAAGTGGCAGTAGTGGGCTGTTGCTGGTGTGCTTCACTGTATGTGCGTTTGTATGGATGCGTGTGTATGTTAAGGGGGCTTGTTGGTGTTGATCCCGGCAGCCAGAAGCTTTGTTTACTCCTGTTTGGAAACCAGGAGCTCGTATACTGAGCGAATCATCTGTCCTGGAAAGAGTATTGAAGCACCCCACCTTATCTAAGTTGCCCGAATCTACTAACGAGGGACACTCGCCGCCACCCCCCCCCCCCCCCCCCCCCCCCCCCCAAAAAAAAGATGTTTCTAATACAGTTCCTCCCGCCTGTATAGTTTGAACTGCCTCGACGGATGCCATGGGCAGAGAGAAGGAGAGAAAGAGGTACAGCCGGACTGACTTGGATCAGCTCTTCTCCTGCTGGCGTCAGCCTCGTGATTTCCTGGCGTGCCAGTCAAAATCATAAAGGATATATTCTCGCATCTCGCATCCCTACCAATCCAGCGGTTTGAACTGAAAGAGTTTGCAGTGCTCTTAAGAGCAGTTGCGAAATAGCTGAGGGTTTTCTGTGGGTTTTTTTTTTCTTTCTTTCTTTTTGAGAGCTCTTCTCACGATAACTTTTCATCCCGGCGAGGGCTTCTATCAGAGCCATCTACTCCACGACAAATTGTGAAGGAATCAGCCCGTTTTGTTTAAGGTAGCTGTGTTAAATTAGCGAACGGAAAGATCACAACAAGGCTACAGGCGTCTGCACAGCTCTGCAGCCCGACTGGGGACTCGACGAGCGCGCTCACCCCGAGTCTGTGCACGACTTTGGCCAATTTCCTCAGTACATTTGCATTCTGGCTAAAGAGCTACAGTGGATTAAAACGAGCAAACAAACAAAAAATAACAAAACAGATAAAAATCAACCAGCCACCGGTATTTGTCATACAAAAATTCCGTTCACCTGCGATACAGTGCTCCACCTCTCCAAACCCCCCCAAAAAGAAATTCTCATCAATTCTGTCGTTCTTCTTCGGCCAAAACCCGCAAATACGCACTCGAGGGACCATATTTTGCTCAATAATTCAACGCCAAGAGTGTAATTTCGGTGAAAAAAACACGGATTCCCGAGTCGTGACTGCTAAAGTGAGTAATGTGCGCGTTGGCTGCGTCAAGAGAGGCAGTCACTGTGCAGTGCAGACGGTGGGGGAGAATCGTGACTGACTGGGTTGCAAATGAAAAGACCACCCAATAAAAAAATATCTACACCGGGAGGAGGGGAGGGTGGGGGTAGGGGTGGGGT